GTTGAAACCGAGTGGCAGCTGTTTAAGAGAGGCATACTCGAGGCTGCCGCCGAATGCTGCGGATATAAACGGGTTGGCCTGCCGCCTGAAGGTCAGCAAGGATCTCCATGGTGGACAAGATAGGTACAACTGGTAATTAAAGATAAGAAAGCAGCGTTCAAGAAATGGCTTGGAACAAAGAGCCTTCTACTCGCGTACGATATGTCGAGGCATGCAAGGCGGCAGTAAAAGCAGTGGCGAAAACCAAGGCTAATTCCTGGGACAAGTTCGGTGAGGCGTTGGAGTCAAGTTTCCAGACGGTAAACAAAGTATTCTGACAGATCATCGTCAGCTCTGAGGTGCAAAAAAGGCAGTCTAAGGGTCTTGAAGACCAGGTGTGGACAACATCTTACCAAGAATAAGGACATTCTTCGATGATGGAGAGAGTAATTTGAGGAAGTTCTTTACCCCGAACCACAGAAAGACTCGCCCATAGAGTAGCAGGGAAGGGATATTACTATTTCTGTAGATGAAATTACATAAGTTGTGAAAAGTTTGAAAAATGGAAGCTAGAAATGACGAAATCTGATCTGAAATGCTCATGGCACTAAGCGAACCAGGGATGAGCTGGCTTACAGGTATTTGCGAAACTGCGATGAATACGGGGAAGATACCAGTGGTTACAGACGGGAGTTGTTGTAACCCCATCCAAGAAGGGAGACCACAAGCAGTGCTCCAATTATAGAGGCATTACGTTATTGAGTTATTACGAAGTCTGCGTGAAGGCTGCGTCCTGTCCCTTCTCCCGTTCGTGTTGTACATGGAGAGAATAGTCAGAAGCAGCCAAGGCCATTGGTGCATCGTGTAGGAGATGTGAAGACGAGAGGGTTGCTATTTGCAGACGTCCATATTTTATTTGCATCTTCTGAAAGTGATCTACAATGCTCCCTACAAAGGTTCGCAAACGAGTGCGACGTGACCGGCATGCGTGTGAACGCATCTAAAACGAAAAGCCTGGTCCTTTCTCGTTCTCCTGCCCGTTCCTCTCTTGAGATTAACGGAGAGGCAGTGGAGCAGGTGGAAAGGTTCAAGTACCTCGGAACTATATTTACTAGTGATGGAAAGTTGGAGGAAGAGTTCGACCGGCGAATTGGAGTAGTCAGTAGCGTTCTGCGTAGCCCGATTCATTGTGACTAAAGCAAAGCTGAAAGTAGTCTTAAGCAGTCTAAAAGCAGTCTTAAAACTAAGCTCTCGTTGC